TCCAGCAGGGCCCTGTGGGGGTGGGGGGGCTGCAGGCCCCCGAGGGTGGGACAGTCCCCCCACGTGGCCTCTGCAGCGAGCTCCCCACGCTGTGTGCGTCTGGCCGTGAGTGCATGCCCAGAGTGCACTGCTGGGTTACAGAGCAGATTTTGCGAGATGTCGCCTCTGTGGGCGTTTTCGTCCCCTTAGACATCAGTGAGTAATGTCTTCAATGCGCCGTTGCCGATCTCTTGGGTTTTCCTGTCTGGCAGAAGAGAAACGGCCTTGCGGGCACTTTCAGTTGCGTTTGCGCGTCTTTTCTTATTTGTGACGGACCATTTGCTTCCCTTCTGGGAGCCGCGTAGATGCGTCTCCTCCGTGTCGTCCTGCCCAGCCTTTGTCTCCGGAGGCTGCTGGTCCTGGGGCGGCACGGGGACCTGAGGACTCTGGGCAGCGTTCTCAGGGGGCCTTCAGGACACCTGCCTCTGTCTCCTGGGCGCTGGACAGACCTTCCCCTTCCGGAGCCCGCCCTAGGCCGTGGCAAAGCAGCCGAGCCCGAGGTCTGCTGCCCTGGCAGGGGAGGTGGGCACGGTCCCTCGTGGGGTCGGGGGGGGGGGGCACTTGCTCCTTTCTTGGGGAGACTTGCCCTTCCCCTGCCCGGAATGCAACCGCTGGGCTTTGGGGTTCTGCTGAAGGCAGGTATGAGAGCAACACACACTCCACTCTCTTGGGCTTTCCTCTCTCCATACCAGCCCCCCAGGCCAGGGCCCCCCGAAAGCAGGACCTCAGAGCTTCTGTCAGGCGACCTCGGTGGGGCAGGGGGAGCCCCTGCATGTGCCTGAGCAGGGGAGGGGTGCCAGGACGGGAGAGGCTGGCACCGTGCAGGGCCAGGGAGGGAGGCACTCTAGGAAGGCAGGTCCCGGAGTGGCCTGGGGGAGGAAGGGGACAGGCCGGAGGTGGGGGGGCAGTAACCTGCGTGGGAGTGACAGGGCCCCCCTACCCCCCACCGAGGGTTCCCAGGGGCAGGGGCGGGAGCTGTGGGGGTGAATGGGCTGGCGGGTGGCTTGAGGTCCAGGTGGCAGTATCTGCCCCCCCCCGGGAGCCCCCCTCTCCCTGCGGGGGGCCTGGCACCTCCTCGAGGCACCTAGGGGTGGGCTGAAGGGGCCCCAGGGGGAGGGAGGCCGCCCCTGGGTGTCCAGGGCAGAGCCCAGCAGGGCTGGCAGCGACCGACTGGGGCGCCTGTCGGGGTGTGGGCACCTGAGTGCAGGGGAGGCGCGGGGTGCCACACGCACCCTGCAGCCCCAGGTGGTGACCCCTCACAACCCCCCCGGGCTGGGGAGAGGCATGGATAGGGCAGCAGGGGTGGGGGAGGCGGAGGCACTGGCCCCCTTGAGTCTGCCCAGCCCAGCGGGCTCCCCCGGCCCTGGCTGCGTCCGGCCGCTCCTCTGCCGCCCTCCCTTCCTCCCGAGCAGCCCCAGCGTGGCAGCGCAGGGCCCCAGGGGAGCGGAGAAGCCGGGGCCCCAGGGGTACTGTGGGGTCTCCAGCGGGATCAGCACGTGGGTGCCCCACTGGGGCGGGTGTCAGGTGAGAGAGGTGGCCCTGCAGGGCGGGGCCCAAGATGTCCCCAGCAGTTTCTGCAAGGGGGCGGGGCTGAAGAGCTCGGGCAGGGGCCAGATCCCCGGCAGGGGCAGGAGGGTCTTGGGCAGCCGGGGGTCTGGCCTCTGCCCCTCATCTGCCCCCCAGAACCCTTCCAGGTGGCAACACTGGCTGCTGCCCACCAGGGCCCACGCCCCTCCCCCGCCTTGGCCTCCCTGCCACCCTGAACCCAGCCACTCCCCGTGGCCTTGTGTCCTCTGGCTGCCGTGGCCGTGGGGGGTGGGGTGCCCAGGGCCAACTTTGTGCAGGAAGTCCAGCCTGGTCACATGGGATGTCCCCTCTGGGCCCTCTGGGTCAGGGCCCACAGCAGCTGAGGGCCCCCGGCCGAAACTGCTGGTCTCCTGCAGCCAGGCCAGTGTCCTGGTACCCCGCACCAGGATGGGCTTTGCCGTCCCCAGACCCTTCCACAGCCACACGCCAGGGTCTCCACTTTATAGACTTTACGGGGGAAATTGCAAATGGGGAGTCTGGGACAGAGAGCCGTCTCCGTCACAGCCTGACAGGACCACCCGGCCACGCCCGCCTGGCAGCACCTCCCTCCCCAAGGGGCCCTCCGCAGGCCCAGACACTCAGGCCGGGTGTCTGGTGCTGCGGGGTTGGCCACGCCCGCCTCACAGCACTGGCCACGCCCACCTCACAGCACTGGCCACGCCCGCCTCACAGCACCTCCCGCCCCACGGGGCCTCCGGCAGGCCCAGACACTCAGGCCGGGTTTCTGGTGCTGTGGGGTCGGCCACACCCGCCAGGCATCCAAAGACCCAGAGCTGATTCTGCGACCCAGCTGCACAGCCTTCCCAGGTGGCTCTGCCTGTCGGGGCCCAAACCAGGCCCTAAGCGTCCTGCTGCCACCTTGGCACCTCTGTCCCTGGCACCTCTGTCCCTGGCACCTCTGTCCCTGGCACCTCTGTCCCTGGCACCTCTGTCCCTGGGCCTGTCTTCGCTCGCTGAGCATATGGGGCGTGGGTTCTCCTGGGGCTCGGAGGCTGGAGGGCTGAGCCCAGGGCTTCGGGCTCTGTGGAGCTCCAGGGAGAGACCAGGGCCCCGGAGCAAGTGAGAGGGTGGCGTGGCCGTGGCTGTAACCGTGGCCGTGACCCTGCCTCGAGGAGGCTGTGGGAGGTTGGAAATAGCTAGAGCAGGAGATGGGGGGGCGGCCCAGGAAGGGGTGCAGGGGGTGCAGAGAAACCCACACTTGCCCCTAGTGGCGTCCCCTCCCCTGCACCCGCCTCGTGGCCTCCCTGTCTCTGGCACCCTGTGGCCGCACGGCCCCCCCAGCACGGTGACAGGCCCCCCCAGCACGGTGACAGTGACAGCAGAGGCGGGAGCGGCCCCCTCGCGTTAGGGGCGGGTGTTTCCCAGCAGGACGTGCACTCCCGGCCCTGGTCTGTGACAGGGGAACAGAAAGTGCTGGGGGTGACGGGGAGGTGGATTCCTGTCCTCGTGTCCTCACCGCAGCAGCGCCCGGGGTGCAGAGGGCCGGCCGGGCTGCCCCCACCCCCGGGTGGGCGAGTGAGGCTCTGGCCTTGGGCACAGCACTTGGGGGGCACAAAAACAACAGTGACCAGACAAAAGAGTAACGCGATCATCTGATGCCTCAAAACCGATGCAAGAAATCCCAAGGCGTCGGTATCTTGGCCTCCTCTGGGGTGACCCGGCCCCCGGGCGCTCTTCCCTCGGGGGGTTCATCTGCGTGGGTCGGTCTGCAGGGATGGGCCAGGACCCGGGGAAGGGCAGGACGGGGCCTCCCCCAGACCCCAGCAGGCAGGAGGGGCAGGGGCTGGTGGCCTCGGGCTGGGCCGAGAAACTGACCCTGCCCAGCCACGCCCAGGCCTCTTGGACCCCAGGGACCCAGGAGCAGTAGAGGGACACGGTCAGGCCTGGGCCCCGTCCCACCCCAGGCCGGCCTTAGCCGGGCCACCGCCGTTCATGGATCACCTGCTGTGTTCCCTGGCCGAGGTACCCGTGGCGCCCACACCCTCTGTGGGGTCTGCTCTGGGCCAGGCTGCCGCTGCGGGGGCAGGGGTGCCCTACAAGTGCCCACTTAACATGCAGGAAGTTATTTGTTTTTTCTTTCCTTATAATATTTTTTTTTCTGTTTTCTTGCCACCGTCCTCATTTGTGGGCAAAGAGCTATTTTAACCAGTGAGAAGTTCCATGATAAAAATCAAACAGGCGAGGTGCTGGAAACTGGGTCGAGGGTGTGGCCGTGGGGAGGGAGGGGAGCGTTCTGTGGGCCCCCCCACCTCTGCGCAGGGTGTGGGCGGAGAGAGCCGCCCCTCATCCCCTGGCAGAGACAGCGGGGTCTCCCTGTGCTCAGTTTCTTCTGGAACCCACTGAGTCGCCCGGGCCCTGCCGGAAGGTGCGGGACTGGGGGGCGGCTGCCCTCCGGGCCTCTGCTGGGGAGGAGCTGGCGGGGGCAGCACCCCGTTGAAGGGGGCAGCGTCTTGGGGGGGGCGTGGGCTGGCCTAGGCGGGGGCTCTGCAGGGCCGCACTCCCACCCGGCCAGCGGTGGGAGAAACACACCTGGGGAGACTCCCCTGCCTGTGGTCGGGCACACGCGTGACAGTGCATGTGCGCCAAGCCTGGCGGGCAGCGCCATCCGCTGACCCCGGAGGGTCTGGGGTTGGGGGGAGACAGGGAGGGCGGAAACCATCTGAGCCCCCGGCAGGAAGGAAACCCAACCGCGCCCCGGCATCATGCCCCTGGTGGGATGGCTACGCCGGGCGGGGCAGCCGGGAGAAGGCGGCGGCCAGTGGCTCTGCAGGGGCCTGGGCCGAGGTCAGGGGTCGGGGCGGGGCGCTGGGCTCAGAGCTCGGCCAGCCACACCCCTCCCCTGGGAGACTCCACCGCAGGCAGGAGGGAGGGCTGGGGGGTCGGCACGGGGGACAGAGCAGAGGTGCCTGGCCAGCCCCGAGGGGTGGAGGGAGAGTGTTGTAGAAGGGGCAGAGGTAGTCCGGAAAGGCGCTGGGAGGCAGGTGAGGAGGGGCAGGGGGGATGAAGGGGGTCACCCGCACGTCCCCGCACCGGCCGGCCGAGCGCGTCTGGGCACACGTGTCGGGGGTTCGCCCCCGCTGGGGTGCGTGTGCACACGAGTGTGTGGTGCGTGTCTGCGTGGACCCGCAGAGCGACGGCTGCTTCCTGCCGGAGCGGGCGCACGGCCTCCCATGGGGGCGGGGCGGGGCCGACCGCAGCACCCCCCCCCACCCCCCACCCCCACCCCCGTGGGCGCAGCCCTGGGAAGGCCGGGCCTTCCAGAATGACAGGGCAGAATGGGTGGCGGGAAAGAGGAAGCCTCCCGGCGTGGGAGCCGGGGGCAGGGGAGCCGGCTCTGCAGTGTCAGCCAGGCACCGGCACCACTTCCTTCCTAGAAACCCCCTCGCCCCGCAGCCCCAGCGGCACGCGCAGGTGGTGGGGAGCCCCGTGCTCCCGTCTGGCGTCATCACTCCTCCCAGCACCCCCAACCCCCACCGGGAGCAGGGGCCGCGTTGTCAGCACAGTCCCTGCCGTCAGGAGCACACAGGTGTCTGCACGGCACAGGGGCCCGGCAGCCGCAGGTGAGCACCGGGGCCAGGGGGCCGAGCAGGCAGACCTGTGGGGTCTGGGGGGGGGTGGGGGTTTGGGGTCTCAGAGTGGGGTGAGGGTGCGGGGGTCTCAGGGTGGGGTGAGGGTTTGGGGGGTTCCAGAGTGGGGTGAGGGTGGGGGGGGTTACAGGATGGAGTGAGTTTGGGGGTCACAGGGTGGGTGAGGGTGTGGGGGGGTCACAGGGTGGGTGAGGGTGTGGGGGGGTGTCTCAAGGTGGGGTAAGGGTGTGCGGAGGTCTCATGGTGGGGTGAGGGTGCGGGGGTCTCAGGGTGGGGTGAGGGTCTCAGGGTGGGGTGAGGGTGGGGGTCTCAGGGTGGGGTGAGGGTGCAGGGGTCTCAGGGTGGGGTGAGGGTCTCAGGCTGGGGTGAGGGTGGGAGGTCTCAGGGTAGGGTGGGGGTGTCTCAGGGTGGGGTGAGGGTCTCAGGCTGGGGTGAGGGGTAGGGTGTCTCAGGGTGTGGTGGGGGTCTCAGGGTGGGGTGAGGTTCAGGGTGGTGGGGTCTCAGGGTAGGTGTTCAGTGTGGGTCTCAGGTGGGGTGAGGAGTGTGGTTAGCGGGGGGTGAGGGTGGGTGGTCTCAGGGTGGGGTGAGGGTCTCATGGTGGGGTGAGGGTGGGGGGTCTCAGGGTGGGGTGAGGGTTGGGGTCTTGGAGCCGGGTGGTGGGTTAGCTGTGGGAGCCCAGTGAGGGTTGGGACTGGGGACGGGGTGTCCTCCATGAGGGGCATCGAGCCCCATGTCACGGGCTTTGAAACCCTGGACAGCGACTGTCTAGTCTGTTCTGCTGAGGCCTCTGCGGGCCCGGCCCCCGCCCTGCAGCCATCCCCTACACCCCCCCCTCCAACCCGGCCCCCGCCCTGCAGCCACCCCAGGCCCAGCCCGGCTCAGCCGGTGGGCGGGGCCCCCAGGCCAGCGCCAGGCTGCGGAGCACTGGGCAGTGTGGGGTCCCGTGCAGACAGCGGGTGGGCAGCGCGGACACCACGGCGTGGGGCCTCCCACCTGCGTGGCAGGCTCCTGTCGCGACGGCACAGACTGGGCACACTCGCCGCCCACCGTGTGCGGAAGCCGCGGCCCCTCTTGCTTGCCGCCGGAGGAGGAAGCAGCCCGGGAGCCGAGCTGGGGCTCCCCTCCCTCGACGGCCCTGGGCAGGATGTGGCAGCCCCTCCCTTGGCCAGGGGACCCCAGCGACGGCCCGGTGTGCGTGGGGGGACTGGCCCCCGAGTCTGCGGCAGGAGACCAACTAGCCCATGTCCTGACGCAGATCCGTGTGCTGGGCAGGGGCAGGCGGGACGTCGGCTGGCCGGGGTGGCCTCCGGGGACCCCACACCATCCAGACTGGACCCTGGGACTCGACCCCCGAACCTTTCCGGGAGGCCCCCAGATGACAGGCCAGGGCCCGTGAGCAGGGCACCCCTTCCAAGCCTCCTGTCACCCCGAAACTCCTGCAGCTTGTACCCTCCTCGCTGTTGGCCGGCGTCTGTTCCATTACGACTGGGAAATTTTAAAAACTACAGTTAGGATTTTTTTTAACATTTCCCCACAAAATATAGGGCCACACTGAGACTAACCTGAGAGCCACACCCCCGGGTGTGTGAGACCCCGGGCAGAGGTGGAGCTGGGGGTGTGGGGTGCTGTGGAGGAGGTGCTCCGGCCCTGTGAGCTCACCTGCCCTGCTGGTGGGGCCGTGGGGTGGGGCTGGGGAGCCAGGAGGGGCCCCCCAGGCTCACAGCCCGCGCCCCTCCCCAGCCAGCCTGGGCGTGAGAGTAGTGAGGGGCCGGCCCTGGACTCTCAGGCAGGTGGACCTCGGCGGGCAGGGTGGGGTTGCAGATTTTGGGGGGCAGCCCCGGCCCCGCCAGGTCCGGTGTCGCCGGCTCCCGCCCGAGCAGTGGACTCCAGGGACCAGCACTCTGCGTGTGCAGGACACAGGGGAAGGGACGGCTCCGGCCTCGGTTCCAGGGGCTTCGTGGGGGGGGGTGCTTGGAGCCTGGCTTGGCTCAGGGTCCCTCCGAGGGGCCTCAGGACCCCGGTGGGGTGTTGTTCGTGAACCGGAGAGAAAGCAAGCACAGTGCTTCCGGAGTAAGGAGGCAGCCACCGGGGTACAGGGATGCCACGTGTGGTCACACACGGGGTGCAGGGACGCCACGCGTGGTCACACACGGGGCAGGGACGTGTGGAAAGCTCACTGCTGGCAGCTGTGCCCTTTCACGTGGGGATGTGGCATCTAAAGAGCGCGGGGAAGGGGTGGGCTACCGCTCTTTCTGGCTGGCATCTGCCTCCCTAGTGGACTGTGGGCCTGGAGGTCCCAGGGGGCCCCGTCCAGCACTAATGATTAGTCACAGGGCTGGGGTATTTGCCCTCCCCCATGGGGGGGGCTCCATGCTCCCCAAGGCAGAGGGAGGAGGCAGAGGGAGGAGGCAGAGGGAGGAGGCAGAAGGAGGAGGCCAACCCTGTGGACTGAGTCCCCCTACCTTCCACACGCCTGAAAGGGCCAGCAGGAAGCTCCTGCAGGGACAGTGACCCTGGCCAGCCCTGGCGGGGAGGCCACTGCGCCCCAGCCCCACCCCTCCAGGTCCTTCCTGGCACCAGGGGGGTGGAGCCCATGGCTGGCGTGTCCCAGGCTCTGGGCACCTGCTGGCCCTGCAATCTCACGCCATGCCATGCGTGTGATACCAGCACTGCTCGCGACGGGGAGCCGAGGTTTCCCCAGCTCGGAGAGGCTGGGTCAGGTGAACCCATCCCTGCCCTGGACCTCACGCCCTGCCCACGTCCGCCCTGGGCTGGGCTTGGCTCTCCTGCGCCAGGCCACCGAGCACATGCAGGGCGGCGAGAGGCCACGTGGCCAGCAGAAGGGTGGCCCTGCAGGAGCTCCCGACAGTCCTGAGCAGTGTGGTGAGGGCCTGGGGGGGCTGCCCACCCCAGATGTGACCCCAGGGAGCTCCACGGGTGGGCCTGGGCTGACACCTCAGGCCGGTCTCAGCAGGGCCTCCAGAGCCCAGGCCGGGCGGGGCGCTCACAGGGGCGGGAGGGAGACCAGAGCTCCCCAGCGGCCCGGTTGGGGCGGAGGTGTGGGGGCGGAGGTGTGGGGGCGGAGGTGTGGGCTGAAGGAAGGCACCCCTGCTGCCAGGGCGGGGGTGGGGGAGGGGCAGATGGGGGTGGTTGGCCACACTGGCTTTGTCCTGGAGCCAGGCTTCCGTGCCCTTAAGCTGGTGGATGCCCATGGAGCTCTCTCTGCCTTGAGGGCTGACGGCCTTCGGGCCCCTGCCCAGGACTTGCGTGCTGGGGGTCCCTCTCGGCTGGGGCCCAGAGTGGGCTTGGGGCTCCTTCTGCCTCCTCTCTGCCTAGTAAGAGGCAGAGGAGGCTCTGGAGACCAGAGGGCTCTGTGTCCAGCCCGGAGCTGCCTCACTGTGCAGCCCTGGGCCTGCCAGGTCTCTCTGAAGGCCTCAGTTTCCCCACCCGTCCAGTGGGCAGGGGCTCAGACCTTGAGGCCTGACGGTTTCTTCCATTCCTTTGGGAAGGGGGAGTTTTGGGTGGGCGCGGGCTGGGGCGCCCCTCCCCCGCACGCTGGCCAGGGTGGGCGGGGCCTGCCCTCTGCTGACCCCCGCCCCCCCCCTGCTTGCACTGCAGCCCCGGGACCATGAACGACACCTGCAGCATGCCGGAGTGGCCCCCGCCCCTCACCTACGTCTTCTACGCCTACCTGAGCACGCTGCTGGTGCTCGGCCTGCTGCTCAACGGCCTGGCGCTCTGGGTGTTCTGCCGCCGCATGCCGCGGTGGACCGAGACCCGCGTCTACATGACCAACCTGGCGGCGGCCGACCTGTGCCTGCTCTGCGCCCTGCCCTTCGTGCTGCACTCGCTGGCGCACGCCTCCGCCGACACGCCGCTGTGCCAGCTCTCCCAGGGCGTCTACCTGACCAACAGGTACATGAGCATCAGCCTGGTGGTGGCCATCGGCCTGGACCGCTACCTGGCCGTGCGGCACCCGCTGCGGGCCCGCAGCCTCCGCTCCCCGCGGCAGGCGGCGGCCGTGTGCGCGGCGCTCTGGGCCCTGGTCGTCGGCTCCCTGCTGGCCCGCTGGGTGCTGGGCACGCAGGAGGGCGGCTTCTGCTTCTCCGCCCACGCCCGCCACACCGCCAAGACCACGGTGTTCTCGCTCGTGGGCTTCTACCTGCCGCTGGCCGTGCTGGTCTTCTGCACCCTGCAGGTGGTGACCGCCCTGGCCCAGAGGCCGGCCACCGACACGGGGGAGGCCGAGGCCACCCGCAAGGCCGCCCGCATGGTCTGGGCCAACCTGGCCGTGTTCGTGGTCTGCTTCCTGCCCTTGCACGTGGCGCTGACGGTGCACGCGGCCCTGGGCACGCAGACCTGCGCCATGCGCCGCGCCCTCGGCCACGCCCTCTTCTTCTCCAGCAAGCTCTCGGACGCCAACTGCTGCCTGGACGCCGTCTGCTACTACTACATGGCCAAGGAGTTCCAGGAGGCCTCGGCCCTGGCCACGCCCCCCAGCGCCAAGGCCCACAAGAGCCAGGACTCCCTCTTCGTGACCCTCGCGTAGGGGGTGCGCCGTGGGTGCCGTGGGCCAGGGCCGGGGGCTCCAGAGGTGCCCCCTCTCGGGGGACGCCGTGGGCAGCAGCAAGCCCCAGACGGGCCCTGAACTGGCTGTGGGCTGGGGCCTCTCTGGCAGCCCAGGAGCGAGATGACCCCGGAACGGATGGCCCGGGGACAAGGACAGAGACGAGGGCAAGAGGCCTGAGGCCTGAGCAAGGCTGATCCCAGGGACCCGGGCCAGGCCACACACCTGCCACCCCGGACTTGGCACACCCGGGCAGGTGGATTCTTGCAGGGTGTGGCGGGGCTGAGCCCCACCCCTGGGCGGGAATGAAGCCCCCTGGGAGCTGGTCCTGGCAGGGCCCGTGTCACTGCCCTCCGGTGGCAGGAGGCAGGCAGCAGGCACGTGGCTCGGAGGGCAGGGGACGTATCCCAGAGGACTCTCTGGGGCTCTCTACTTGGGGCCCTCTTTGGGCCCTGTCACCATGCCCCACCTGTCTGGCCCTCTTGCAGGGCCGAGCTGGAGGCCCACACTGGAGGCCCGTGTTGGAGGCCCACGCCCACTCTCCTAGGGCCCAGGCAAGGCTGGAACGGGCTTAGGCCCATGTAGGGCTGCGCAGCCAGGCTGGGGGGCGGCAAGAACCAGGCAGACGGGGGGCGGGGGCAGTGGGGGAGGGGCCGGGTCTGTGGGGAGGGCAGCGCTCTGGTCCTTCCTTCAGGGAAAGCCAGGGCCGCGTCTGGCAGGCAGGAGCAGGGTCGGGTGCCCACCGGGCAGGCGGGGCGGGGGAATTCCAGGCCTCCAAGCTCAAGCTGGAATGACCGGAACTTTCCAGGCATCCCATGGGTGCCGTGTGGAGGGCCTGGGCTCACACCCAGCTCTGCTGCCTCACCTGTGCTCTCGGGCTCCACCTGCCCCGTCCTCCCTCTGCAGAGGGGAGCAGGTGGCAGCCGCGTTCTGCCGGGCTGGCCGCACGGGACGAGGCTGGAACACTGCACAGGGCCCCACGTTAGGAAGGGCCTGGGGCCGGTCGCGGCGGCTCAGGATCACTCGAGGTCAGGAGTTCGAAACCAGCCTGAGCAAGAGCGAGACCCCATCTCTACTAAAAATAGAAATAAATGAATTGGAAAACTAAAAATATATAGAAAAAATTAGCCGGACGTGGTGGCGCATGCCTGTAGTCCCAGCTACTTGGGAGGCTGAGGCAGGAGGATCAATTGAGTCCAGGAGTTTGAGGTTGCTGTGAGCTAGGCTGACGCCACAGCACTCACTCTAGCCTGGGCAACAGAGTGAGACTCTGTCTCAAAAAAAAAAAAAAAAAAAAAGAAAGAAAGAAAGAAAAAAAGAAGAGCCCAGGCTCAGGGGGCGCCTCCTTGCTTTAATTCCTGGCTGTCCTGAGCCTCCTGATCCTGGAAAGTCCTCACATTCTAGTTTTAGTCTGGGCTTGCAAGTCATGTGACTTGTGGTCCAGCTTGTGGGCTGCTGGGAGCCTGCCTGTGGGGTGGCAGACGGCTTGTTCCGGTGCCTGCTACCCACGGGCTCTGCAGTCCCCACCGCCCCCCTCCAGGCCCCAGGGCCACTGGGTGGGCTGAGACGTCCTGCCTCTGAGTCCGGGGCCGTCCGTGGCTTCGTGGACAGGGGGCATCGGCAGAACCAGCTCAGGGAGCTGGGGTGCCTTGGGGGAGGGGCAGGGGTGCCGCAGCCTTGGGGTCCTTCTTCTGTGTCCCATCCTCTGTCCCCAGAGGCCCTGCCCCTTGGCTGGGCCAGATCTTTCCTGGGCTTCGACGACCATCACAGAGCAAAGCCCAGAAACACCACGGCCAGGCTGAGCCTGAACCCTTCCCACGGCTGGTCCTGGGCCCGCCCACCACCGCACAGGCACCTGGCGCTGTCCGCCGGGCCCACTCTCCCCCTGCTCCCTGCCCCCGCCCGTCCACGGCCCGCAGCACCGAGAGAAAACTCGACCAGACCCCAGGTCTGGTCTTGTGTGTCCCCCACCACACGGGGTACCCACCCGCCTACAGACTGGGCCTGGTGCCACCTGCCTCCCGAGGGGCTGCCTCCACCCCCCCAGGCTACCCTCTACTTGGAAGGCCTCCTCGTGGGGTCCCCTGCCTGTGCCCCCTCCTCAGGTGCCCAAGCCCTCTGCCACCCTGCCCATGAGCGGCTCTCCCCGAGCCCCTTGCCTGCAAAAAGTGGAGCAGAGGTGGGGCAAATGCCGAGTGGAGATGCCCCTCTCCTCCCTCCACCCTGCCCCACCCCTGGCCAAGTGACGCTCCATGTGCCCAGGAACAGGCACGGCCCAGCTTCCCTTCGAGCAGGTCCCAGCCCTGCGACTGGCCCTGCCCCTTCTGGTGCTGCCCCAGGGCTCTTGCATACGCCCTGCTCCTCAGACCCTGTGCCCCCCCCAACTCCTCCCTGCTCTCGCCGACACCCCTCCCCGGCTTTGTTGGGCACAGCGGAGCTGACATCCCCTCCGTCCCTGCCTCCCCCCGCTGGCCCTACACGACCGTCACCACCCCCCCCAGGGACACAGAAGTCCACGCCACGACTCTTACCCTCGCACAGGGTTCCCGCCAGGCTGAGCAGCTGAGCTGGGCAGGATGTGGGGGCCCGGAGACACGGGCAGAACTGGGCCTGGTCCTGCCCAGCACTGGGCACTGAGGAGTGGGGCCCCCCCACGGCCAGCGTGGACCGAGATGGCAACTCTGGATGGGAAGGTTAACTGGCCAGGCGGTAGTAGCTTCCAAGAGCCCTGTGTTAAGGAGGATTCTGAGGCTCCGTCTGGGCGCACAGGCACGGGGAGGAGCTGAGCTGAGCCCCGCCCCCACCTGTGCCCCTCCCCCAGCTGCCTTCACGGGCAGGAAACCCGAGCAGCGGCAGGGGTACAGGTGGCCGTCTCAGGGTCTCCTGCTGCGTGGGCTGCCAAGCACCGGGGGGCCGGGGTACACAGAGCCTCGGCAGGCGTGTCTGCAGCGGGGCCAGGCGCACACGTCCCGGCTCCCTCCTGCCCCTTCCCGGCTCCCGGCTTGGGGAGGCAGCCGGACTTTTGCAAAAGCCCTCCAGGAACACCGAGGGGAGGCAGAGGCGAAGCTCAGACGCCGTCAACACCCCAGGAACTAACGGCCCGGCTCTGACTCCCGCTCACGTGCTCCGCCTGCTCCACCGCCGGGCCGGCCTCTGCCCCTCGTGGGGCCGGGCTCGGAGGGCTCAGGGCAGCCGGGCACAGTCATCACCAACAGAGCCACCGCTATCGACAGGGACAGGCCCCGGGAGGAGACGGCGACTCGTTCTGTGGCCGCACCGACAGGAGCTCGGGTCCAGGACGTGGGAGGACACAGGGTGCTTTACCTGCTCGGAGAAGCTGTTCCGCACTGCCGGGGTCTGGAGGAACAGCGGCCGAGAACCACCCAGCGCCAGGCTGCGCCTGGCCCGAGGGGCGGGTTTGACTTGGAATCTGGGGGCCGACACGCCCCAACAGACCCTGAGGTGTTGTTGGGAGCCCCTGTGACATTTGACCCCACGTGCTCTGTGCGTCATCACTTTGAGCCCCCAACCCTGGAGGCTCCCAGGGAGCGCTTGGAGCACACGCACTCAGGCAGGGTGCTGGCTTGCGGCAGCTCGCGGGGAGCTGATAAAGGCAGGAGGGGCTTTGCCAGCTCCCCTCAAATCACTCCCCTCGTGGGAGAGACCCGCCTGCCCGGAGCGTGGGCTGCTGGGCGGACACCAGCAGGCGAGTCCCAGCATTAAGTGAAGTTAAAGCCTGGCCTGGAGCTACAGAGTCCCGCTGCCAGGCCCCAACCTGGCTGGCCAGCCCGGGGCCGGGCTCCCTCCCCCGCTTCCGTGGGCCGCGTGGAGAGGGCGGTGGGCCTGGGCTCCGGAAATCTCCGGATCTCTGGGGGGGGGGGCGAGGCCAGGAGGCAGCACCGCGTGGGAGGTTCTCAGCCTCCAGTCACGTGGCCACCGAGGCCACTTCTTGTGGCTGCTTCGACAAACCTGGTTCCGATGAGACCCAGAGGGTTCGGGGAGGCCCCTGTCATGGTCCCCGTGGGGCCCAGATCCTCCCTGTGCCGGGCGGGCCGGGAGCCTGCGTGGCGGGGTGGGGGTGGGTGCGGAGGCCCCTCCCCCGGTGCAGAGCACCCCGCACAGCCCACGCTCGCTGCAGCTGGACGGTCTCCGTGGCCCACGTGCACGGGCCCTGGGCACCCTCCCGTGCTGGACACGGTGCCACGGCCACCACCCCGTGGGGCAGCCACGGGGGCCCGGAACTACAGCTGGAGGGAGCCCTGGGAGTGCGCCGTTCAGCACGACCGCCGTGGGGTGGTCCAGGCCTGCGCCTCCCCAGGTGGCGTGACCAGCGCCAGACGCAAGAAAACTTCTTCTGTAGGTTTCTATTTTTTACTTTTGTAGTTTCTATTTTTTATTTTTGTAGTTTCTATTTTTTATTTTTGTAGTTTCTATTTTTTATTTTTGTATTTCTCTTGTGTTTCAACTTCCCCGGCCGGGAGGACGCGCCGACCAGACCGCGTTCCTGCCTGTGACGCCGGCGCCTCTTTGGAGACTCCATCCCAGGAAGGGCAGAGCCCCCACGGAGCCGCGTGGCCACCTGCTCGTCCGGGGAGGCCGGGAAAAGTGACCCCCGCCAGGACGCGCGGAAAGTCACTGACATAGACCCAGAATATCCTGGAGGTTCGAGGCTAATAATGCGCATGGGCTCTGCCGGCCAGAGCACGCCTGGGGGTGGGACACGCCACAGAAGTGAGAGGGGGACGCGCCACAGAAGTGAGAGGGGGACGCGCCACAGAAGTGAGAGGGGGACAGGCCACAGAAGTGAGAGGGGGACACGCCACAGAAGTGAGAGGGGGACGCGCCACAGAAGTGAGAGGGGAGCGCGCCACAGAAGTGAGAGGGGGACGCGCCACAGAAGTGAGAGGGGAGCGCGCCTGGCGGGAGACACGCCACAGAAGTGAGAGGGGAGCGCGCCTGGCGGGGGACACGCCACAGAAGTGAGAGGGGGACAAGCCACAGAAGTGAGAGGGGAGCGCGCCTGGCGGGGGACACGCCACAGAAGTGAGAGGGGAGCGCGCCTGGCGGGGGACAGGCCACAGAAGTGAGAGGGGTCCTCGCTTCGCCAGGTCTCATGGGCTGAAATGACTTATGAGAGCTGTATAAACTGTGAACAGACTGAAGACCGGCAAGACAGAATAAAAACGAGGCATATAAAATTAAACGACAGGCAAAACCTTGACGACGGTTCTGACAGGGAACTCCAGGGGGTCCCTCCACAGGGCCCAGGGCCCACGGAGGAGGCTCGCCCCGCTTTTCAGCAGAAGGGTGATGGGAACCCCCAGTGCCACTGCTGAGGCTGGATGCAGAGGACGTGGGGTGATGGGTCCCCAGGGCTCCCAGAATCCGTCTCCCCCAGGAGCCCAGGGTGACCGTGCAAGTGGGAACAAACCGGCCGATTTCCCGGCTGGCGCTGACTGGTGCAGCCTCCTCGGTTGCCCAGTGTGGCGCCGCAGGCGGGTGGGGGCTGGGCTCCCGCTCGGGCGTGGGCCCAGGCTGTGCGGCGCCAGGGGCCCATCCGGTGAGGGGCCGGGGCAGCATCACGACCCCATGGGGGTGAGGGGCTGGCGAGGTTCCCCGCACAGCTCCCGTCCTCTGTGGGCATCCGGACTCAGTGGTGCCCCCCCGCTGGGGCTCAGCCCCCCGAGGGTCCGGGGCTCTGGCCAGAGCACCCACGGCATCCTCCTCTGAGTGCCTGGCATGTAGGGAGGTCCCAGGAGAGGAGCTGCCTCCCTGGAGGGTGCTGGGGCGGGTGACCCAGAGGGCAGGTGGAGCCGGGGCCCTCACCCCGGTGCAAACAGCCCAGCTGCAGGGAGCCGGGGGCCCTCGCTTAGTTGGGGACAGAGCTCAGGTGCAGGGAGCCAGGGATGGGGGGACCCCAGCTTCAGCGGGGCACAGAGCAGGGGCAGGGCACTGGGGGACCCTGGCCCAGGTGGGGCCACGGCCCAGGTGCAGGCAGCAGGTGCGTCGTCCTGGTTCCAGGAGCACAGGTGTGAGTCATGGCGCTCAGGGGCTGGCTGGTGTCCAGCACCCGGGACTGGCCGAGTGGGCAGGTGCGTCCCGGCCCCGGGGAGGACGCCAGGCCCCAGGCGGTCCGTGTGAGCGCTCCCAACCCTGCACCTGGCCCTGCGGTGGGGGAGGCTGGAGGTGAGAGGCACAGGTGTGGCGTTCCCAGAGGTCCAGGGGACTGTCCCGCCACGTCTCCCTCTCTGGCCGAGCGGCCGGCCAGCCTCCTCCAGGGCCCTCAGCTGCCCGACTCAGGCGCTCCTCCACCGGGCCGGGCACATGGCTGGTCTGAACGTGTCCCTCTCCTTCCTCTTCTGCACCGTGGCCCTCTGCGAGGCAGCCAGGAGGGCGAGCAAGGCCCTGCTCCCCGCCGGCGCCTACGGCAGCTTCGCCCGGGAGGCGGCGGGCGCGGCCCAGCTGGGGGCCTGCTGCCTGGAGCTGCGGGTGCTGGCGGAGCTCGGGCCCTGGGCTGGGGGCTTCGGGCCCGACCTGCTGCTGACCCTGCTCTTCCTGCTGTTCCTGGTGCACGGGGCCACCCTGGACGGGGCCTCGGCCAACCCCGCCGTGTCCCTGCAGGAGTTCCTCACGGCCGAGGCGTCCCTGCGCAGCACCCTGCTGAAGCTGGCGGCCCAGGCGCTGGGCCTGCAGGTCGCCTGCGCCCTGACCCGCACCTGCTGGGCCTGGGAGCTGAGCGAGATGCACCTGCTGCAGAACCTCCTGGCCCAGGACTGCCGCTCGGCCCTGCGCACGTCCGTGCCCCACGGCGCGCTGGTGGAGGCCGCCTGCGCCCTCTGCTTCCACCTGTCACTCCTCCGCCTGCGGCACAGCCCTCCCGTCTTCAGGGTGCCCGCCCTGGCCCTGCTGGTCACCGTCACAGCCTACACAGGTGAGACCCGCTCCCCCTGCCCCCAGCACCGCCACGCCACGCAGCTGACGTGCACACCGCGCCTGTGGGCACCCAGGAGGGACAGCGCTGCTGGCCGAGGGGGCCTACGAGCCTACAGAGCGGGTGGCTCTCTCCGGAAGCTGGCTGGTGGACGGGGACCGCCGGGCTGAGCCTGGGAAGGGGCCCTGCCCCATGAGGCCACCTTCGGGCCGTGTCCCTGTCCCTCCCGGCTGCTCCTGTGCATCCCAGGAGATCCGTCCGTGGGCAGGTGGGGTGTCCGGCTCTGCTGCGGGAGCCCCAGTGTCCCTGTCACCCCTTCCGAGAGTGACAAGTGCCATGGGCTCTTCCTCTCTCATGTCCCTGCACTGCCCACCTGGCTTTCCCCACGCAGGCCGAGCTTGTGACCGAGCTCTCGGGGGTCCGCCGGCCCCCAGCCTCCTCTGACGGCTGCCCCCTGCTCCGCCCCAGCCCCTGTCACCAGCCCTGGGCCCCACACAAGAGCAGCCTTTGATTGGCAGGCTCCTGGGGGGACAGGTATCCTGCAGAAGGGGCTGCAGGGAACCCCCAGAAGTGGCTCCTTCATGCTCTTGGCGCCAGGGTGCGGGGGTAGGGGTGAGGGTGGACCGCTGGCAGGGCTGCGTTTCAGGGGCTGAGGGCCCGGTCAGGACAGAACCAGCACTGAGGACTTTGCACCACGCTGGCCCTGACCCACCCAGGGCGGACGGCACACGGCCTGGGCCGCAGAGGCTGCAGGAAGGTGCCACCGGAGGGTGTGCAGATGGGAGGGGCAGGGGTGGGCGCGCAGCTCAGAGGGACAGGGCCTGTGACCAGACTGCCGGTGACACCCAGAGAGCTCCTGCAGACACGTCTCCCGGGGCCAGAGCGCCCGGCGTCATTGATGGGAGCTGCCCAGGCCCTGGTGTGCGTCCGGCTGGCTCCGGAATCTGTGTGCACAGGCCGCCTGCCTGGGGCTCTCCCTGTATCTGGCTTTCTGTCCCTCTCTGTCCCCACCTGACCCTCTCAAAGACCGCCTCCCGCAGGGCAGGGCAGCTGGGGACGGGGGCAGGCTCGGGACATGTTCCTGCCAGGGCTAGCATGGGGAGGTTGCCCCCTGACCCTGCGACCTTGGAGGGTTGCCCCCTGACCCTGTGATCTCAGCCATGGCCAGTCTCGATGCCCATCAGTACAGCAGGGCCCGCCGGGATTGCACCCCCAGCGCCCGCCCGGCGCCAATAGCCGCGCCCAGGCCTTTGCACGCGGGGCTCTCCGTGTGGATTTCGAGGGGAAGGTCGGGGGGGAGGCTCCAGCCCCGGCCTGGGAGTCGCCGCAGGCAGGGTCGGGACCGGGGCTGCGTGTGCTCTGCCCACAGCCGGGCCCCTCACGTCCGCCTTCTTCAACCCCGCCCTGGCCACCGCGGTCACCTTCCACTGCTCGGGGCACACGGTGCTGGAGTACGCCCAGGTGTACTGGCTGGGCCCTCTGACAGGTAAGGGCGGGGCAGGGGCTCGGCTGCTGGTGCCCAAGCTCTCCCTGGGGAGGGGACAGGCCAGTCTCCTGGGGGCTCCTCCGCAGGGTGGGCACAAGCGGGCATGGGTGGGTGGGCGGGAGGAAGCCTCCCTGGGAGGGGTGCTGGGTGGCAGGTGGGGTCCCTGTCCTGGGCACCAGTCCTGGAGTGGGGGCTGCCCTTAGACCACACAGGGACCACCCCACCCTCCCTGGGCTGAGGCCGTTGGGGGTGGCCCAGCCCCTCGGGGTCCTGGTGATGCAGCCCTGCGACTCCCTGATCACAGGGGACCCTCTGCTCCCCTCCTGCCCAGCACAGCACAGCTGCCCAGAGGGTCCGCAGGGAGGGCCCTGGGCCGGGGTCACAGGGGAGGTCACGGAGCCAGGTCTGAGGCCCCAGTGCAGGGCAGGCCTCTTCCCACACTTGTTCTCAAGCCCCTGGCCCTGCCTCAGTCTCCACACCGGGTGGGTGACTGGGGCCTGGTGGGAGTCCGGAAGCTCCCTCCGCCTTCTGCTGGGTCCGCACGGGGAGCAAACAGCCGCCCCCAGGACGGGAGCTCCGTGCGGAAGGAGAGGCCGCTCAGGCTCTGGAGACCTCTAGGGACCCCTGTGCGGGGGATCCTGAACCCCGTGACCCACAGCCTGGTTAGACACCCACAGACCCCTGCGGGCTTGTCTCCATCTCCAGGGTAGGACACCCGGTGGGAGGGTAACTGGCCAGGAAGGCCCAGACCAGGCCCAGCCAGGGGTCCCCTCAAGGGGTCTGCAGGGTCCCCTGTCCTGGGGGCCGGCCGAGCGTGTCCTTTTGTCTTGGGGGCCCTGCGGTGCCCCGCAGGGATGGTCCTGGCCGTGCTGCTGTCCGAGGGCCGCCTGCCCCGCCTCTTCCAGAGGAACCTGCTCTACGGCCAGAAGAACAAGTACCGCACCCCCAGAGGGAAGCCGGCCCCAGGCTCTGGGGACGCCCAGACCCCAGCGAAGGGGTGCCGCAGCCAGGAGCCTGGGCGCAGAGCAGTGGGGCCGCAGCCCCGGTGCCCCAGCTAGCGCCCGCCGGGTGTGGGCCCCAGACGGCCACGCTCTTGGCTGCACCCGCGACCTCCTGGAGCTGCAGGGGGAGCCCCGGCCTCCCTCCCCACAAACATTTTGCCAATAAAATAGTCCTTAAACCTGCCTGTCCCTGGCCTGACAGAAGCTTCTAGAAGGGCAGGTAGGGGTGAGGGGAAACAGCCGGGCCGGGCCTGAGCCGCCTCCAGCTCCCACAGGCTCCTTGCCCCATTTTTTATTTTCTGAGCCAGAGTCTCACTCCGTCACCTGGGCTAGAGTGCTGTGGTGTCAGCCTAGCTCACAGCAACCCTCCAACTGCGTCGTTTGTTGCGCCGCGGCCGTGAGCCCGGGCCTAGCAATCCCTTCTGCCTCAGCCTCCGAGTAGCTGGGACTACAGGCGTGCCCACCATGCCCTGGCTAATTTTTCTATATATTTTTAGTTGTCCAATTAATTTTTTTTTATTTTTAGTAGACACGGAGTCTCACTCTTGTTCAGGCTGGTTTCGAACTCCTGACCTTGAGCGATCCTCCCACCTGGAGACCTCCCAGAGTGCTAGGATTACAGGGCTGAGCCACCCAGGCTCCTTCCTGGGGGGGGGCCGGACCTGCCCTGAGGCTGCCACACTGAGACCCACCAGGGACGCTGTGGGTGGTGGTGGAGCCCGAGGCTGCAGGTGGGTGTCAGGGTGAGGGCCCCCAACCCCACATCCACCCATGAGGTTCCCCAACCTCTGGACAGTGGCCTCCCAGTCCCCAAACCAGGCAGACCCTGGGCCATGGCAGGGCGGGGGCTGCATGCAGGGCAGGGGCTCCAGGCCAGGCTGGGAGAACCCTCCAGTCATTTACTTCCCATAGACCACAGCTGATCTGGAACTTTCCACCGGACAAGAGAAAGGCCCCTCAGCTGCGGTTCCCAGAGCCCCATGCACGGAGCGGAAGGGTGGCCGGGGCTCTGAACCCCCACCTTGTGCTTGGTGGGCAGCAGCTGCTCTGTGGGGGGCCGGTGTGTGCTGAACCAGAGGAGAAAGCAGGTCAAGGTCCTGCCGGGCTTCTTCCTGGGGTGCAGGTGAGGGTGTCTTCCTGTACCCGCTTCCAGTGAGAGGAGAGAGAATCTCCCTCCCTGGCCCTGCCCCACCCTGCCAGGCGGGGGAGCCTGCTATCTGGACACCCCTGGCGAGAGCACTGGGGAGGGGTGGCAGGGAGCCCAGGTACCAGGAGGAGCCATCCTGCATGGCTTCCCGGTGGGGGGCAGTGTGGGGGCAGGGCCAGCTGGGTGGTCCCGGTGGGCAGCAGAGGGTGTGGCCGGGGAGGAGGAGGGGCTTCCCCAGGTGCAGCCCCGCCCAGGTGGGAGGCGGTGGCACCTGTCCCTGCAGCAGTCCCTCCTACACCGGCACAAATTTTCCCAGGACGGGAAATGCTGGAGCTCAGGCAGTCAGCCATGTCAGTGAACGAGGACACGCCGTGCGTGTGGGCGTGGCGGGGAAGCACACCAAGAAGTTGTTGGAGTGACTCGAGTTTGGAATCTGCTTTGGAAACCTTCCACACTGCAAAGCAGAATCCAGAAGATTTGCAACACAAATTTGAGGCTCCTCCCATCTGATGGTGTGAAACTTTTGGAAGACAATGTCAAAGTCGGCTTTTCCTTGGCACTGAAGACTCGCGGGTTAAGTTTTATGCAAATCGAGCTCACTTCGGTTTCTCTGATGATCTCCCATCTCCACACCTTACAGGAAATGGGGGAAACATTAACTTTGCATTTAAAGCTGTGGTCAAACCTGCACAAGACTGGTTTGTAGGAGGAGTGAAATCATTTTAGGAAAATGCTTTGCAAGAGTCATGAGCTCTAGGCCGGGCACAGTGGCTCACACCTGTAATCCTAGCACTCTGGGAGGCCGAGGCGGGCGGATCACTCAAGGTCAGGAGTTTGAGACCAGCCTGCGCAACAGTGAGACCCCATCTCTACTATAGATAGAAACAAATTAATAAGCCAACTAAAAATATATAGCAAAAAATTAGCCGGGCATGGTGGCGCATGCCTGTAGTCCCAGCTACTCGGGAGACTGAGGCAGGAGGATTGCTTGAACCCAGGAGTCTGAGGTTGCTGTGAGCTCGGCTGATGCCACGGCACTCACTCTAGCCCGACTCTGTCTCCAAAAGAAAAGAAAGAATCTGAGGTGGGCAGAGGGGCCAGGCCCCCTCCTGCCCCATCTGTGGGCCTCACAGTAAGCTGCAGGAAGCTCCTTCTGAACACGAGAAAGTGCCAGAAATGATGGGCAATCATGCATCTGCCATGATCGACTCACTCTGCTTCCGAATAGATTGAGGGAAGAGGAAGTCGCTAAAATTATAAATTCCACTGACATAATGACCGCCTTTGCAGAAAGCGTTCGGGGAAAAGTGCCTGGTGCCTGAAGATCTCTTCTTCTTCTTCTTCTTTTTTTTTTTTTTGAGACAGAATCTCACTTGTTGCCCAGGTTATAGTGAGTGCCGTGACGTCAGCCTAGCTCACAGCAACCTCAGACTCCTGGGCTCAAGCGATCCTCCTGCCTCAGCCTCCCGAGTAGCTGGGACTACAGGCATGCGCCACCATGCCCGGCTAATTTTATATATATATATATTAGTTGGCCAATTAATTTCTTTCTATTTATAGTAGAGACGGGGTCTCGCTCTTGCTCAGGCTGGTTTCGAACTCCTGACCTCGAGCAATCCGCCCGCCTCGGCCTCCCAGAATGCTGGGATTACGGGCGTGAGCCACAGCGCCCGGCATGATCTCTTCTTAATTGATATCCTCTATCGTGCACATGACAGCCGTGCCAGACACGCGTGTGCACTCTCATTGCCCCCCTGCGCCTGGCCAGCAGGGTCCCCCGTTAGAGGAGAGTCCTGCTCTGAGCCTTGAACACCCCCGTTTCCGTGAGCGTCCTCTGTCCCAGTGCAGAGCACGGCGTGGTGGCAGTGTGCTTAACCACTTCGGTACGGGCGTCGGCTACAGCGACTTTAGCCGACAGCCGTGATGTGACTTCTCTAAGTTTTCTTTTATCAAAATAAAACTGTGAACATTTAAAAATAACGTGATGAAAACATATACGTCTATGTTCCCTGTTCTGATTCACGTGACAAGTACAGCTGCCTGTGAAGTACAACACGCTTTCAGTGCCTCTCGTCACACGAGAGCCACACGGACCCGTCGTCAATGCACGGCACAGACTGCCGTGCGGACTGCGAGTGCCGGCTGCGGGCGAGGGTTGGCGGCCGGTGAGCGCCGTGCCCAAGTGGTTATGCATCCCCAGGTGTCGCCACCCAGGGAAAACTACCAGATGGTGACTTTGCCAACAGCTTCCAGACCCACTCACGATAAATAGGTTCCACGGGGACAGCTGTCACTGACTTCTCAGCTGTCCCCGATGCCACCGCTGACCTAGACCGACCTCTTTCCTTGTTGGCTTTCTGAGTCCAGTTGCTTCAAGACCCAGATATTACACCCCCCCGCCCCGTTTCTGTTTGTGCTGTGTCGTTAATGCCGGAAACTCGTCCTATACCACGGGACCTCCTCTATGAACTGCTGGGCAGACAAGTATAGCTTAGAGCAGATAAAGTTAAAAATGTGTCCCTACTGTGTCACCAATACTCACAGCTCAAGTGTCATGCGACTGCATTCTGAAAAGCTGCAAAGAAAACGACGTGTGTCCCCATCCTGCACTGCCAGCACTTCCCGAGAATGACTCTTCTAATGAGCAGCACACGCTCGGGGACGTCACCTGCGTGCTCCCCCCGCCGCCCCGGCTGTGTGACTCCGTGTGGCACAGGGTCCGGTCCCTGGCACAACAGGGCACACTGCTGCCTCTGCAGCCCACACGTAGGGGCTCGAGTGTGCTAGGGTGTTCTGCGACCCCCTTGTCCTCACAAAGCATGCCGAGACCCCCTTTCTCTCTTCATCGTAAAAAGGTCTACACCAGCAGGATATAAAGATATCATACATAGGTCAAAGCATCCTAGAAATGTCATTTCCAGGTGCTGAGTTTTTATTTTGTTTTTTTTCCCAACAGGGATATGATTCAAAACCTTCCCACCACTATTACTAGGTTTGTGCAAAAGTAAAGTAAAATCGCTCACCTCAGGAGGCCCTGGGACTCCTAAGCACTGGAAGCCCTGTGCAGAGCCCCCCAAGTGTGTGGCTGTCGCCCCATCCTCCCCTCAGCCACCAGTGCCACGGCCTCCCCCAAACCCCTGCCACGCCTCGGGCGAGACCGGGGCCTTCGTGTGCACCGGCACCAGTACCCCGGGCAGGTGCGGACCCCACCCACGGGCCGGGGCTCTGCAGGGGACACCTGCAAGGCTGCCTGGGCGGGCGCGGCGGCCTGGCCCGAGGGTGCTGCCAACCTCGCCCCCGGAGAGGGCCGGGCGCAGGTTCAGACGGGGGCAGCCGGCACTCCAGGAAGCAGGTGAGGGCTCCAGGGCTGGAGTCCTCGCAGTCCTCCCCAGCACCCCCCTTCCCCGAGAGCCAGCCCCCCCTGTCACCGGGGAGCAGGACGCTGCCTCTCGCCGTGCTGCGCCTGTGACCACGTCCCAGCCCCAGCCCACGGAGCAGACGCACAGAGAGAGCCACCGCCACGGCCCGCGAGCTGAGTTGCGTAAGAGCCACGTTTATTTCTGGATTGGACAGCGCCGTAAGTGCACACGAACAGTACAGGGCCTACAGCTAACACTCGGGAGAGACGGCGGGGGCCGCGTCGGTGCGCGGGGGTGGCGGTCATGACACGGGGACTGGGGGCCACAGCAGTCACGTATGTACAAGCCGGGGACGCCACCCCCAAGCCACAGGGGAGCCCAGCACGGGCGAGCCACAGAACACAGGCCCTGGAAGAAACTTGGGTCGGCCACAGCTGCTGTCCACCGGGTGGGGGGGGCGGCCCCAGGGATGAGGGACAGCGCCTTTTGGGGTCCCCACGCCAGGCGAAGCCGGCAGAGGACCAGTGGCACGACGCAGCACACGCCTGTATTATCAGCTGCACCAGGGACCCCAAGGTGCCGGGACTCCGGGGCCAGGACTGGCAGGGAAGCCACCTCTCCGTGGCCATCATACGTGGCCAGTGACCCAGACGCTGGCGCCGTCTGAGTGACGGCTCGGTGCGGGAGGCCTGGACTTACCACCCTGAGCATGGCGGGTCTCGCCAGAGCTGCAGGGCCGGCCTGTCCGTAGCCCACCTCCCCTCCTCCCACCCGACCCAGCATGGCCGCCCCCAACCCAAACGGGGCCGCAGCTGGGCAGCACCAAGCATCCACATCACACCGTGCACAGCGGTGGCCTCTAGGTCTGCCTCCCCTCCCAGCTGCGCCCGGGTGGGGGCACCCTCCACACCAGCCCCTGCCTCGCATCCCAGACGCTCAGTGACTAGTCCTCGGCTCACACACGCAGGCCCTCTCGGGCAGGGAGGTCCCCAACTCACAGATGACTTCTCTCTCTGCCCCTCTGGGTTTCTGGACCCTGACCCAGGACCCCCGACTGGAGCAGGCCTGGGGGGCGGGGCACCGGGTGGCCCAACCCCGCTCCGAGCGGTGCCAGGTGGCAGCAGGCCAGAAGGAGACGTCCCCGGAGCCTCCGTGGCAGTGGAGGCTTCTGAATTTAGGGTGACGCCCAGGCCCCTCCCCTCCGCCCCACCACACGCTGCAGGTGCTCCACAGGTTGGCTGGCCTGGGACCCCTGTGGCATGGTGGGCAGCCTCAGACCCTTCCACGCTGCGGCTTCAGGCTGGCTGACCTGCTGGCCGTGGCGGGCCTGCGCCTCCTCCTTGCTGCCTGTGCCTCCTCCCTGCCTGCGCCTCCTCCTTGCTGCCTGCGCCTCCTCCTTGCTGCCTGTGCCTTCTCCCTGACTGCGCCTCCTACTCCCTGCCCGCGCCTCCTCCCTCCCCCTCCCTGCCTTTGCCTCCTCCCTGCCTGTGCCTTCTCCCTGCCTGCGCCTCCCCACTGCCTGCGCCTCCTCCCTGCCTGCGCCTCCTCCATCTGTGCCTCCCAGCTGCCTGCACCTCATCTCTGCCTGCGCCTCCTCCCTGCTGGCCCAGGCCCCTGGGGCCCAACTCCTTCCTCCTGCCTCTCCTCTCTGCCTCCGGCCAGTCCTGACCACCACAGCAGTGCTTATCCGAGACACCGTGTGTCACAACTTTGCGCCTCCACCACAGCCCAAGGGCACCTGTGCGCAGAGCAGGCCCCAGTTCTGGACAAGGCTTAACGTCAGTCTGGGCTACGAGTCCTCACCTGGGAGACCTGCAGAGAAAACTGCCGAGTCCTGTGCTCTCAAGCTGTGGCCTCCTGAACCCGATTCTCACTGACAGATCCCCATGGCCACCTGGGAGGGCCTGCCAGGCCCTGGAACCAGGGCAGCAGGCAAAGGTGGCCCCCAACACACCACACCTGAGCCCAGGTACCAAAAGGTGAACTCAGTACTAACGTCTGCCTGGGCTTGTCCCGGCTGGCAGGCAAGACCCTGCGTGAGTGGGGACCCTGGCCCACCTGTCCTGCCTCCCACTGTCTGGAGGCAAAAGCCAAGGGCTTGCTCAACTTCAACCTCACCCTGGAACCTTCCCGCTCGGCACAAATGGAGGACGCTTACCCTGACCCCGGGCATGTGTCTGTCTCTTCCCCAGGCCCACGTGTGGCCTGCTCTGGTGGGCCATGGTGGGGACGGGCACTGCTGCTCGGTTACGGCTTCCCCCTGAGCTACTGAGACCTGCCTGTGGGCGTGACCTAGACCAGACTCCATGGGGATGATCCCCAGCTCCTGCATGGCCCTCAGGCATCGGGGTCTGCAGAGGGGACAGGGCAGGGAACACCCTGGTGTGGAAGGAAAGCGCTCATGAGGACGATGACCGCCTCGCTGCCTGACCAGGACACACCCCACTCACGAACTCGCTCCCTGGACCCACAGGAACCCTCTCACCGGGACAAAGAGAGGAGTCTGTGTGAGAGCCCTGCCAACCGCAGAGCTCCTTCCCAGGAGCTGCCTGCACTCGCTCTGTCTCTCACCGCAGCTGAGAGGCCCCACCTGAGCCCCACCCAGTCCGTCACCCTGAATCCCGACCCTCCCGCCATCCCTGTCCCCAAACAGCTGTCTGCCCAGCGGTCCAGGGGGGTGGGTGGGTCTGCACTGCCCAGCTGGGGTCATGACCCCTCTCCTCTGTCCCTGCCCAGGACAGGCACCACAGCCCGGGTGCCATCGGCCCCACCACCCCACACCCTCTCCCAGGAGAAGCTGCCAGAATCGCTCTGAGAGTCCCGTTCCAGGGGGCTGCCCCGAAGAGACACAGAGCCTCCCCAGAAATGGCTCGAACCCTCTTCCATGCCACTCAGACTCCAGGCACCAGGAGACCCTACCGGGACGAGGGCCTGGGCAGGTGCCAAGCAGACACTCCTTTGCTGTGGCCTTTGGAGGTGGCTGCCCCGGCCATGTCTGTCCCTACTGGCTCGGGGGACGCACTTGGGCTCAGACGGGGGGGGGGTCCCTCTCAATCCTACAGGTCTATGTGGAGCATTAGAAATAAATACTTATAAATAGGACACGGTCTTATAGTTAATTTCTGAGTGGACAGTTTCGACGTCACTAACTAACGTAGATTAATTCATAATAAGTCTGTCTATGCTTAAAAAAATATTAGAACGACAGCGCAACCCCCACGACCCATGCCCTCGGCCTGGCCTGCGTGTCCCGGCCCCTCCCGCCCAGAGCACATTCTGGAAGAAACGACAACACACGCAGCCTCCGCTGGAGCATGACTGGTTGTGTGGCCCAGGTCCTGGCCCGGCAGGGTGGTCCTGCGGGGGACGTGGTTGTGAGCTGTCTAGTGGGGAGGGGCCGGCGGTGGACAACGGAACAGACGGGACGAGAGGGCCGGGCCTGCTGCTGTCATGGGGCTCCGTCAGACCCTCATCTGCGCAGACCTCCTCCGGGACAGCTTGGACCTGCAAGAGCCAGAGGGAGGGTGGTCAGGGCCCTCACCGCTACCTGCACCTCCCTGCTGCTTGCGCCTCCTCCCTGCCTGCGCCTTCCTGCTGCCTGCGCCTCCTCCCTGCCTGTGTCTCCCCACTGCCTGTACCTCCTCCCAGCCTGCGCTTCCTCCCTGCCTGCACCTCCTCCCTGCCTGCGCCTCCCCACTGCCTGCGCCTCCCCGCTGCCTACGCCTCCCCGCTGCCTGCGCCTCCCCCGCTGCCTGCGCCTCCTCCCTGCCTGTGCCTTCCTGCTGCCTGCGCCTCCTCCCTGCCTGTGCCTCCCTGCGCCTCCTCCCAGCCTGCGCCTCCTCCCTGTCTGCACCTCCCCGCTGCCTGCGCCTCCTCCCAGCCTGTGCCTCCTCCCTGCCTGTGCCTCCTCCCAGCCTGCGCCTCCTCCCTGCCCGTGCCTCCTCCCTGCTTACACCTCCCTGATACCTGTGCCTCCTCCCTGCCTGCGCCTCCTCCCTGCTTGCACCTCCCTGATACCTGTGCCTCCTCCCTGCCTGCGCCTCCTCCATGCTATACCCACGCACAGACCTGTGTCCTCTCTGGTCCCCTCACCACCCAGAGGGAGGGACACAGTCCCTGTTTCCTGCCACAGGACTAGGACGGGACCCTCCCAACCTGCCCGCTTGTGCAGAGCTGCCCACGCCAAGGTCCACCTGCCATGAATGGGCATCTGTGACATGTCCTTTGGGATTTCTCACTTCACACACACCAGTGACACAACGCCTGCACAGTCATCCCTAAACACATTAGGACCCTATGAGAGAAGGCGCCGCGGCTGGCCCCGTACCGGATGGTGCCGGCCAGGAGGGGGTTGAAGGCGTACAGCCAGTCGTGCATGTCCTTGTCGCTGGTGGCCTGCAGCAGGATGCCTCGGTGCTCCGTGCACACCGCGAACGTGTTGGGCGTCTGCGAGAGGGGGACACGCATGAGACGGCATGAGGCCGGTCGGCACCTGCCCATCTCCACGACACAGGGCCTGGCAGGCGGGGGAGGACACTGCAGGGATGACCTCTGTGATGATTGAGCCAGAGGGAAGACTCCACCCACACGAAGAGTGGGAAAGGCTCCCTGCCAGCCCTTCCCACACCCGGGCTGGATCCTTCTGGAAGCCTCTGTGGCTGGTGGGTCCAGGGCCACACTCACCCCACCCCCCAGGACTCTATTTGTCAGCTGTGTGCTCCCCGCCCTGCTGGTCCCAGCCTGTCCTCTTGAGCCCCTGCCATGGCGTGGCTGGTGTGGGTGGCACCTGCCTTTCCCACCACAGGGGGTCAAAACATTCCTGGGGGCCTGGAGAACCCTCCTCCTCAGCCCTCGTCCAGGGCCACGGTCAGCCTAGACAGGAGCCCGGCAGAACGGCAGGAAGGCTCGCTGGAACCCGCCTCACCCACCCCAGGGAGCCTGGGAAGGGACTGGGTCGTTGACTGTCATGTAGGAGACCTCTGATGCTCACCCAGCCGTCTGACCAGAGCCCGTCCCCACCAGCCGTTCCCAGGACCGTGAGCCCCCGGCTGGGCAGAGGGGCTCTGGGGCAAAGGCAGGGGACCGACATTGAGCCCCTGTCCCGCCCTCCCTGGGACAGGCCAGGAGGGCCCTGCAGGGCCCCAGGGGAGGGTGACACTCCACGAAGCCTCCCGAGCTGGGCCGGCCACCGCACCTTGAGCATGGCCTGCTGGTCCTCGCTGTACTCCACCTGCGCGGTGGCCAGATTGAGCACGAACCGCTCCACGCTGTCCTTGTCGCTGTTGTACATGTAGGCATAGGGCCGCCGCACCACCACGTAGCGCCTGGCCCAGCCCGACGTGTGCGGCTCCAGGAAGTGCAGGTAGCCCTTCTTGGAGACGATCGGGCTGGGGGCGGACGCGGGTCACGGTCAGGAGGGGGCAGCCAGACGTGGGCACTGCGCACCGCCCACCGCCCCGGGAGCGCCCTGCAGCGCTCGCCCCTCCCCAGGAAGATGGCGAATGAGGGGTCGAAGGGCAGCTGCAGAGCCCCAACCTGGGAGGCTGGAGACCAGAACCACCAACCCATCAATCATCCCTGGGCCTCAGCTTCCCTAGCTGCAGCATGGGGAAACCTAAAGAGAAAAGCTGAGGTTGCCCCGGAGCTGTAATACCAACCCCACGGCCACCAACTTTCCCACCTGGACACAGCCCCCAGCAGCCCACCTGCCCCTTCCCTGGGCTCAGAGGCCAGCCCCTGCAGGTGGGTCATGGCCCTGCCTGGCCTCAGTGCACAGCTGTGCCCTGCAGGTGGGTCACGGGCCCTGCCTGGCCTCAGTGCACAGCTGTGCCCTGCAGGTGGGTCACGGCCCTGCCTGGCCTCAGTGCACAGCTGTGCCCTGCAGGTGGATCACGGCCCTGCCTGGCCTCACTGCACAGCTGTGCCCTGTGGGAGGGTCACGGCCCTGCCTGGTCTCACTACACAGCTGTGCCCTGTGGGAGGGTCACGGCCCTGCCTGGCCTCACTACACAGCTGTGCCCTGTGGGAGGGTCACGGCCCTGCCTGGCCTCACTACACAGCTGTGCCCTGTGGGAGGGTCACGGAGACCCGCCTGACCCCCTGGTACACACCCGCCTGAGCTCCCTCTGCACACAAGTCAGGGCAGCCTGCCCCACCTTCCCCAGTGAGGGGACTGCGATGTCCTGCCTGTCCCCTGCCGGTGCAGGGCCAGCTGGGCGGTGCTCCCGTCACGGGCAGGGCCCCCACACACCTGACCCGGATCTCCTGGATGTCGGGGACCAGCAGGCGCTGGGGCTCCTTGTCGGCCTCCGTCGACCGCACAGGGGAGGGCGTCTTCTTGGAGTCGGACTCTGGCAGCAGCTCAGGCTCGGGGCTGGGGGGCCGGGAGCAGGGCTGCGGGGTCCTGGTGAGCAGAGGAGCTGCTGCACCCCCGGCAGGCCCTGGCCGGGCCCGGGGCCGCCCCCACCTGAGCTCCATCCCCAGGGATGTGCAGGGCTGAGGCTGTGCCGGCCGTGCCCGCAGTTGGAGCTCCAGGGCCACCCTCCAGGGACATGAGGGGCACAGCAGGGGGTTCTCCTGGGACCTGGGGGCCATCGGGGCGGGGGGGCCAGCTGGGGGGGGGCTCCACACGCTTCTCCCAAGGGGCTCTCCCGCCTCCCCCCATCAAAGCAGCATCTGTCCCCACAATTAAACTGAAGGTGACAAGTGTCCTCGGACTGCTAGAGTCGAGGGAGCTGCTGGCCTGCGGGCACCTGCAAAGGCTGCGCAGGGTGAGGGTCAGAGGGTGACGCCTCTTTCTGGGGGTGACGCCTCTTTCTGGGGGTGACGCCTCTTTCTGGGGATGACGCCTCTTTCTGGGGGTGGGGCCGAGAGCTGGGGTGGGGGCTCGTGTGCCCCGGGAGAGGGGCCGGCAGACCCCCTCCAGCCTCCTCCCTGAATGAGTGTGGCCAGCCTGAGACGCTCGGCCGCGGGTGACCCACTTTCTCTGCACTCTGTGCCCCCAAGTCACAGCCACGGCCGCGGGTCGGCATGTGCCAGGAGCCTCTCCGGGAGCCCGGAGCGCACTCACCTCAGGTCCGTGGCTCCGTAGCGCCCCTCGACCAGAGAGGGGCAGGTGGAGGAGGGGGTGAGCGTGGCTGCCCCCAGAGGGGACATGGACGGGTCCCGCAGCAGGGTGACAGACATCTCAGAGAGCTGTGGAGGAGAGGAAGCCTTTTGTGGGGGACAGTCTCGGCCCACGGTAGGGCCCCCGCAGTGGTGGGCTCCTGTGCCTTTGCTCACACTCTACCTCCTCTTTGGGGCTCCCCCACCCCGCCTCCCAGCAGCCTCAGCTCAGTGGTGGCCACCACAAGACCCCGGCCACGCCCGGCCCCTACGTGCCCCTGGCCGGCCCCTCCCAGGGCTTCGGGCCCTGCCCTGCTGGGGACACGGGTGCCACCTCCCTGTGGGCTGGGCTCTGGGACAGGCTCTGAGCTGCCACCTCCCGCCAGCGCCCTTGTGGGGCCAGACTGGTGGTGTCCACGGGGGACTGGCATGGAAGGCGGGGGCGGGGGGAGGTCAGGACCTGACGCCACGCAGGGGAAGCTTCCGGAGGCTGCAGGGCGAGGGTCGGCCCCCAGGGCCAGGGGAAGCCCTGCCCAGTATGGGACGGGGCAGCTGACAGAGGGCCGGCCAGGCGAGGTGAGGGCGGGAAGGGAACAGGACCCCACGAGGGCCTGGGTAGGACCCTTGACCCAGGCCCCACGCCCACAGGCCCAGGCAGACAGACGTGGCTCGTGGGCCTCAGGTCCAGGGCAGCCAGCCACTAGCCACGTGGTCTGCTCTGGAGCAAGAGGGGTGTCCCCAGGAAACGCCCCTGCCGTTCCCTTGGCAGCAGCCGCCATGGGTGCCCGGGCCCGAGGCGTGGCCCGGAAGCCCCTCCCCCACACGCACCTTGCTCTCGCTGGCGCTGACACAGACGTGGCTGTGCGTGTACTCCCGGTTGAACGTGTGTGTGAGCAGGCGCAGGCACTGTGGACAGAGCGCGCGGGGTCAGGCGCGTGGCCTCCCGGGACCCGGCTCTGCCCGGCACGGCCGAGGCCGCTCCCCCCGCCCCTCCCCCGAGCACAGCGGGTCCAGGTGGCAGCATCTCCACCCGCCCAGTGTGTGTGTGGGGGGGCGGGGAACCCCCCAGGGCTGGGGAAAGCGTCGCCCACGGTACCCATGACACCCACGGCACAGGAGCCTCCCACAGCGCTGCCAGCAGCAGAGAGGGCCTCTCTGGGTGGAGGGGTGAGCTCCCCAGCAGCGCAGGTTCTCAAGAGAGGGCAGGTCAATGCGCAGTGGGGGCCGCAAAAGGCACCAGAATCTCCCGTGTGGGTGAGGGGGAGACAGGGCAGACCCCCCCATGCTCCCAGCTCCCGGGGCCCTGACCACAGCAACCTCCGCCAAGGCTGGGTCACCAGACTCCCCAGTGTAGGTGAGAGGGAGACGGGGCAGACCCCCCATGCTCCCAGCTCCCGGGGCCCTGACCACAGCAACCTCCGCCAAGGCTGGGTCACCAGACTTCCCAGTGTGGGTGAGGGGGAGACGGGGCAGACCCCTCCATGCTCCCAGCTCCCGGGGCCCTGACCACAGCAACCTCCGCCAAGGCTGGGTCACCAGACTCCCCAGTGTGGGTGAGGGGGAGACGGGGCAGACCCCCCCATGCTCCCAGCTCCCGGGGCCCTGACCAGGGCAGCCTCCGCCAAGGCTGGGTCACCAGACTCCCCAGTGTGGGTGAGGGGGAGACGGGGCAGACCCCCCATGCTCCCAGCTCCCGGTGGCCCTGACCACAGCAGCCTCCCCAGGCTGCCACCAGACTCCCCCAGTGTGGGTGAGGGGGAGACGGGGCAGACCCCCATGCTCCCAGCTCCGGTGCCCTGACCAGCGGCAGCTCCGCCAAGGCTGGGCCACCAGACTCCCAGTGTGGGTGAGGGGGAGACGGGGCAGACCCCCATGCTCCCAGCTCCCGGTGGCCCTGACCAGCGGTCAGCCTCCGCCAACGCTGGTCACCCAGACTCCCCAGTGTAGGTGAGGGGGAGACGGGGCAGACCCCCCATGCTCCCAGCTCCCGGTGGCCCTGACCACAGCAGCCTCCGCCAAGGCTGGGCCACCAGACTCCCCAGTGTGGGTGAGGGGGAGACGGGGCAGACCCCCATGCTCCCAGCTCCCGGTGGCCCTGACCACAGCAACCTCCGCCAAGGCTGGGTCACCAGACTCCCCAGTGTGGGTGAGGGGGAGACGGGGCAGACCCCCATGCTCCCAGCTCCCGGGGCCCTGACCACAGCAACCTCCGCCAACACTAGGCCACCAGACTCCCCAGTGTGGGTGAGGGGGAGACGGGGCAGATTCCCCATGCTCCCAGCTCCCGGTGGCCCTGACCACAACAACCTCTGCCAAGGCTGGGTCGCCAGACTCCCCAGTGTGGGTGAGGGGGAGACGGGGCAGACCCCCCATGCTCCCAGCTCCCGGTGGCCCTGACCACAGCAGCCTCCGCCAACACTAGGCCACCAGAGTCGCCCGGGAGTGACGCGGGGCCCTGAGGGGCTGGGGACAGGCCGGGCCGCCCCACGGCTCAACCTGCCTTGACGGCCAGCTCCCGCTGCCTCTCGCTGGGCACCTCCAGGGGGGCCGGCCGGGCCTCGGCCGAGAGCGGGGAGGAGGCGCTGGAGGAGCTGTGGGACTCGGAGTCCTCGCTGGAGGCCGGGGACAGCGCCTCCGGGACGGGCCGCTGCGTGGTCTCCAGCTTCTCGCGCAGCAGCAGGTAGTGCCGGGTCTTCTCCACCTGCGGACGGCACGGGTCGCCCGCTGCTCCGTGCCGCGGCCTCGGCTCCCGGAGCAGCAGCAGCACGGCCCTCTGGGCCCATGCGGGCGCCCACCCCTCCCCATGGGTGCCACCATGAGCCACGGGCTCCGCCCGCAGGCGGGGGTGGGGGGGGCGCAGCACTGGGCACCACGCCCGGGCCCTGCAGCCGGGCTTCGTGGCCCGCACTCGGGCCGCCCTCCTCCCTCCACGGCCTCGTGGCTGTGGCCGTGGGCCCACGGGGAGCAGATGGCCGCTGCATTCCCCACATGGGGTTCGGGGCCTGCTCTGCAGCGCTGCGCTGCTGGCCTCGGGCGCGGCCCTGGCTTCTCACTTCCCACATACACAGCCCAGGGGGCGCTGGTCTCCCTGATCACAGTGACTGAGGCAACTTCCCTCCCAGGTTTCCCCCTCCCCCTCCTCCCATCCCCTCCCTCCCGCCTCCT